ACAAGACTCATCTGGATTCTTGATAAAACCAAACTTACTGATGGCTTCATCAAATCGCAGATTCCAACTTCTGCTTGCTTGCTTCAGTCCATAGATGGACTTCTTAAGCTTGCATACCTTTCCAGCGTTGCTTGGATCAACAAAAGCTTCCGGCTGTGTCATATACACAGTTTCTTCCAAAATCCCATTAAGGACGACGGTTTTGACATCCATTTGCCATGTTTCGTAATCGTAATATGCAGCAATCGCTAGGATGATCCGGACGGACTTAAGCATTGCGACTGGCAAAAAGGTTTCATCATAATCAATCCCGTGGATTTGCCTGTAACCTTTTGCCACCAGTCTAGCTTTGTATATTGATACATTTCCATCTTTGTCTGTTTTCAATTTGAAAATTCATTTGCAACCAATGGGTGTATAACCTTTGGGCAAATTTACCAAGTCCTAGACTTGATTTTTCTGACATGGAGTCCATCTCAGATTTCATGGCCTCTTTCCATTTAGCAGAGTCGGGGCTCGTCATAGCTTGTTTGTATGTCGCTGGCTCATCTCCATCCATGACTAGGATGTCCTGATCTTTGGTTAAGACAATACCAAGGTATCTGTCTGGTTGAGATCTTGGCCGTTGTGACCTACGAAGGGTAATAGGTTGAGCATTTACATTGTCTGTTTGATTCTGACCAATCTTATCACCTTCTTCTAAAGCATTTTGATTGTCAGTTTTATCAGGTTGACATTGTTGCTCATCCTCTCGAACTTCGTCGAGTTCAGTTTTCCTCCCACTTGTCATTTTGGAAAGATGTTCCTTCTCCAAAAAGACACCATCACGAGCAACAGATACTTTGTTCTCGGATTTATTGTAGAAGTAATACCCTTTGGTTTCTTTTGGATAGCCCACAAAGAAACACTTGTCTGATTTCGGGTGAAGCTTGTCAGAAATTAATCGCTTGACATATGCTTCGCAACCCCAAATCTTAAGAAAAGACAACCTTGGAGGTTTCTTAGTCCATAATTCATATGGAGTCTTTTTGACAGCTTTTCACAAAGTACTGTTCAGTGTTAGTGTCGCAGTTAGTAACGCATGTCCCCAGAAAGAGATAGGAAGTTCACTAAGACCCATCATTGATCAAACCATGTCTAACAAGGTTCGATTTCTCCTTTCGGATATACCGTTCCATTGAGGAGTTCCAGGAGGTGTCAACTCTGAAAGAATACCATTTTCTTTCAAGTGATCGTCGAATTCATGGCTCAAATATTCGCCACCTCGATCCGATCGAAGTGCTTTTATCTTCTTGCCAAGTTGATTCTCAACTTCTCTCTGAAACTCATTGAATTTCTCAAAGGATTCAGATTTATTCGACATAAGGTAGACATAGCCATATCTACTATAGTCGTCGGTGAAGGTAATGAAATATCGATAACCTTGCCTTGCGGGTGTACTCATTGGTCCATATACGTCCGTATGTATTAGACCCAATAAGTCACTTGCCCTTTCTCCCAACTTGGAAAATGGCTGCTTTATCATCTTGCCTAATAGACATCCTTCGCAATTTTCAAACGACTCCAAGTCGAATGAGTCAAGAACACCTTCTTGTTGAAGTTTCTTGATGCATTTGACGTTAATATGGCCAAGGCGATAATGCCACAAGTAGGTTTGATTCGAATCGTTGGTCTTAGCCCTTTTAGAGGTATCATTAATGTTTTAAACTTAATTGTCAAGAGAAAGCACATAAATACCATTTTCTGAATATGCCTTACCATATAAAAAATTATCGAAACGAAATGAACAACTATTGTTCTTAATTCGAAATTCAAAACCCTTAGCGTCCAACGCCGAAATTGAAATAATATATTTGGTAACTCTAGGAACATGATAGCAATTGTCAAGTTCTAAAATAAGCCCAGAGGGCAAAGACAAACTGAGAGTTCCAACGGAGACGGCAGACATCTTTGCTCCATTGTCGACCCGAAGCTCGACCTCTCCCTTCTCTAGCCTCCTATTTATCCTTAGTCCCTGAGCATTGGAACAAAGGTGTGAGCCACATCCGGTATCTAATACCCATGATGTTTTGCTAGCGAAGTTTAATTCTATAACAAAAATACCTGATGAAGAAGCAACCGTGTCGTTCTTCTTATCTTCCTTGAATTTGAGGCAGTCCCGTTTCCAATGTCCCTTCTTCTTGCAGTAGAAACATTCGGAGTCGAATTTGGAAGAGGCTACCTTTTTGTCCTTGCTTCTCTTGGCAGTGTTTGACATATGCGGAAAACTCTTCTTTTTCCCATTAAAGCTCTTCTTCTTGCCCGAGCGCTTAAATGGATTGCCCTTTCTCACCATGAGCATATCACGCTTTCCCTCATCTTTGAGGGTTTGCTCGGCCTACTTCAACATACCATGAAGCTCGGTGAGAGTTTTCTCCATGCTGTGCATGTTATAGTTCATTTTGAACTGATCATAGCCTTTGTGCAACGAGTGGAGAATGATGTCAATTTCCATCTCGGTTGAATACCGAGCATCTAGCCTTTCCATGTTCTCAAACAATCCAATCATTTTAAGAACATGCGGGCTACCGGCTCTCCTTTCTTGAGCTTGCTCTCAAGGATTTGCCTATGGCTTTCGAACCTTTCAGTTCGGGCCTGCTCTTGAAAATATTCTGAAGCTCAGAAATGATTTCAAAAGCCGTATCCTTTTCAAAGAAAGTCGTTTGAAGGTCCGGAGACATAGTGGCCAACATGATGCATTTGACATCCCGATTGGCACTTTGCCATCGGTTAAAGGCAGCCTGAGTGACCTCCTCATTGGGAGTGACGGGAATTTCCTCATCAAGGACGTATTCCTTTTGCTCTTGCATGAGAACAATACGCAAATTCCTTTTCCAATCGAGAAAATTTGGCTCACTCAATTTCTCCTTGTCGAGAATTGAGCGTAATGAAAACTGGTTGTTTGAGTTACTTGCAGACATGGTTCTACAATTGAAAGAATTTGAAATGAAAAACCATTCATATAATCAATAAGTTTGAAATTTAAAAGCGTTAATGCAAATTTTCAATCTTATTGAGCATTTTATCCACGCATTAATAATTTGTCCCTTTTGGCGAGAATAAAATGATTCCAAGATCCTAAAAATCAGAAAGTGATTAAGCATGCTTTGTCTTGTCTTAACACTTAATATTTTAGGGTAAGCAATCCAATTGCTAATAGCTCTAAGCTACTCTCGGTTTGATAAAACGTCGCATCTAATGCATTCTTGACATTTTATCTCTTTTGCCACGACATCTAAGGACTCCTTACTGATATCGTTGAGCTTAACCAAGATCAACTCGTACACCTAGTATACCTTACGTTCCTAGGGAGGTAGTGATGCCTCGCTTTGGCGTAGCCCATCACGTACGCGCATTAGTTCGGTAAGTGTTGTTCTTGGAACGACAAATTTTAGCTCAATATTTTAGGGACCTAGGGTTTCTATGTTGGTTGATTTAAGTGAACTTAACTAATCATCGCAACATTTGAAATCCTAGACATCCATCTAACATTCAAATATATATATATATATATATATATATATATATATATATATATATATAAGCACAATGATATATATAAGGCATAAAATAGATGCATTTAGCAACTAGCATGACCCCTTGAAATCTTCAAATCTTCAAGGGTCTTCATCTTGGCTCGTCTTCATGGAAACACCGTCTTGAGACATCTTTGCCAAAATAAAATTACTAGCTACTACGACTAAGATTAATCTAAATATTAAGGAACAAAAATACTCAACGTTACACAGACCGTATTTAAATTTACAAAAATACGTAACGGAACGCAGTCCGTATTTTCTATCCTAGTCGGGTCCCACTAGTTGCCATTTTCACGAAACCTGTGAAACAATATATTTTCCATTCATCCATTCACTATATGTGAATGGCCCATGCATTTTACGACGAAAAACAAGTAAAATTGCACAACACGCGAAAACTAGCAACTAACTTAAGTTGTTAATCCGAATAACACGCCTAATTAAAACTAGTCAAAGTTGTTTAACATATTATGTCTATTAAGGCACAATTTGTTCACGAAAAATTCATAAGCTCCCACTAAATTCTGCATCCAACTTAATTAATCTAATTAATTAAGCCAGTTAACCCAAATTATGTCAAAATTAAAATTTTGCAAGAGTCGGAAAAATCGAGGTCTAACCTCATAAAAATAATTAATTAAAATTAAAACGCCAAAATTTTGCAAAACCGATAGCCCAAAACTTAAGCAAAAACAGCCCACCCTCAAAAATACGAAGGTTGTGCACCATGGCTGCTAGGCAGCCCATGCGTTGCGTCTGGTGCTCGCTGCTACCAAGCTCGCCTAGCGCAACATGCCATGCTAGCTAGCACTAGCAGCACGCTACGCATGCTAGCTGCTCGCTGGCAGCAGTGGGCTGGCTAGCTGGGGCTTACTGCCTCGCCGCCCAGCAGCACGCACAAGCACTCTAGCAGCCTAAGGCCCATGCATCCAGCCATCTCCCACAACAGCAGCACCTCAAGGCACAACCCTTTTGTGCGCACCATAGGCAGCCACATGTGGGCTGCTAGGCAGCCCGGCTAGCCGTGGTGACGCTTGGGTGTTTTTGCTTTGATTTGGTGCCGTTTCTCGGGATTTTAATCCCGATTTTCGTGTGACATAAAATTAATCCTAAATTTATTTTAGAATCAATTTAGGGTAAAAAGAAATTAAAATAAGTCTAACTTAATTAAATTCATTTTAATGGTGCACAAGCCTAAATCATCCAAAATTACCTTTTGAAATAATTTAGGTCTTTCTTGATGCTTTAAAATTGAAGGGCTACACTGATATGTTGTGTTTTGTGTATATTATTTGACTTGTTCTTAGTTAGTTTTGCTAGTTTAGTTGAGTATTTGAGTCAATTTTGGCGTATTTTGCTCTAGTTTGGATAATCCGATGCTTTTATGGGTAGTTTTGTTGTTTTTGAGGATTTTCAGGAATAATGGAGCTAATTTGGATGAATTATAGATCCACGAAGTAAGTCAAAGCCCATGGAGTATGGAGATTGAAGAAAAGTCAAGAAAATAGCATTTTAGAGGTAGGCACGGCCGTGCATCCCCATTAGGCACGTCCGTGCCTCTGTGTTTGAAGCTGCACCAAAGGAAGACCCTAGGCACGTCCGTGCCTAGCAGAAGAGGCACGTCCGTGCCTAAGTAAAGAAGCAGGCACGTCCGTGCCCAGCACTAGGCACGTCCGTGCCTGGAAGATAGAACTGCAGCAATTTTGCTACGCCTAGAGGCACGTCCGTGCCTAGCAAGGGGCACGTCCGTTCCTCTTGGGATCCTTATGCGCCAAGGCTTAGCCAGTTTTCTTATCTTTTGGGCTTGTATATATATTCTTTAGCTTTGTTTTTCTTGAGGATTCATTAAGTTTATTTTATTTTCAATTCCTATTATTAAGAACTAGTTCTCCATCTACTTTTTTTTTAAGTTTTGTAATTCAAGATTCAAGATTCAAGGTTCCTACTTTCAATTTTATTCAAGATTTGGTACTTATTTTTCATCCTTTGTTATTTAATTATGTTTTCATTATTTATTTTTGTTTTTGTTTCTTTAATCATGTGTGAGTAGATTCCTTAATTCAAGATCTAGTGTAGCCCTATTATTATTGATGCATGAATTAAATCTTTAAATTCTTTAATAACTTTACCAATTGAATTGCTAAATTGATTGTGATTATGCCAATGCTAGGTTAGACGTAACTATAGTATTGCGATTATTCCATTGTTTTTATCACAGCGAGAGTTGGGTATAACGGATTTAAGTAAATCAATTTAGGGTTTGATTCTCAACACGAGAGTAGTTGGGTTTGATAATTGGGAAGTGAGAGTAATGTGTTTAATGTCTCTAATATGCATGATACCATGAGAATAGGATTGATTGTATGTTAGGGAAGCCATTGATACTCGAGAGAGATCCTTGGTAATTATTAGGGTTTACTTTTCCCCGTTCAATTGAAATCGTATGTTAAGGGTAGAATTACAATTGCATCGATAATAGTTGTGGTTAAGCTAGATCTAGGATGTTTTTAATTGCTTGATTTAATCATCTTAATTAGTTTATTTTCGAATTTTCCCTATATTTTAGACCCTTAGTTATCGATTATACTTGATTCTTGCTTAGTAAAGATTTTAGTCTAATTAATTGTTTCTGAACCTTAGTCTCTTGGGATCCGACCCTTACTTGCCAGTCTACATTAGTATTGGTCTGTTAGGTTATTTTTGATAGGTACGCGACACGCCTACCAAATTTTGGCGCCGTTGCCGGGGACTAACCGTTTCATTTGACACATGGGACAAATTGGTGAAAGCTTTCCTAGTCAAGTTCTTGGGACAGGAGAAGACTGCAAGGTTGAGAAACGAGTTATCCACTTTCAGGCAGTATGATGATGAGTCCCTATATGACGCATGGAGGAGATTCAAGCGTTTGCAGAGACAATGCCCTCACCATGGTATTCCTGAATGGATGTTGATCCAAACTTTTTACAATGGTCTAACTCATGAGTTCCGAATCTACATTGATGCTGCATCTGGGGGCTCTCTCTTGACAAAGAACCCCACTGAAGCAAAGGAGCTTATAGAGAAGATGGCAGCCAATGATAATTATCATCTAGGAGGCCGAAACACTGTGAAAAAGGGAGGTAAAATTGATGTTGATGCCTTAACTATGCTAACCAGTTCTGTGCAGGCACTAACAAGCAGGTTTGATAAGTTCCAAGCTGGAACCTCTACTAGCCCACAGGAGTTGTGTCAATTGTGTAATGTGCAAGGTCATATTGCACCGGATTGCCCGCAGATTTCGCAAAATACAGAGGAGATGTCAATCGAGCAGGCCAATGCTTTCTACTCCTCTAACCCCAAAAGGCCCTATGACCCCTATTCCAACACCTATAATGAAGGATGGAAACACCATCCTAACTTTTCATACAAGAATACCCAAGCACAGCAAAATCCACCTCAACCCAACAACTACAACCCACCACCACCTGGCTTCCAACAAAGACCACCCAACACCCAACAACCAATGCAACCAGAACCTCAGAAATCTAGCCTTGAGGTGACGTTAGAGAGCTTTATAACCGCAACAAATAGTGTCATCCAACACCAAAATAGCTCTATACAACAGTTGCAGGCCCAAAGTAAACTCATGGAAAACCAGATAAGCCAACTTGCTAATCAAGTTAGCCAATCTTTAAAGATTCCAGGAACTTTTCCGGGCCAAACAGAACAACCTCAAAAAGGCCAAATGAATGTTGTTTTCCTGAGGAGTGGAAAGCAATTGGAAGATCCTCCTACCAAGGAGCCATCAAAGGAGGTCGTTGAAGAAGCAGGTGCAAGTGGGAAGGAAGTTGACAACTCTAGGGTCGAGGATGAATCCAAGGAAGCGCCACCAAAGCCACTTGCTCCGTATGTGCCTAAGGTTCCTTTTCCTCAAAGGTTAGCTCAAGCTAAACTTGAGAAAAAGTTCAGTAAGTTTCTTGATATTCTTAAAAAGCTTCATATTAATATTCCATTTTTAGATGCCATATCTGAGATGCCTTCTTATGCAAAATTATTAAAAGATATGCTATCTAACAAGAAAAAGTTAGAAGAGAATACTACAGTTGCTTTGAATGCAGAGTGCAGTGCTATTTTGCAGAACACTCTCCCTAAGAAATTAGGAGATCCAGGTAGCTATTCAATTCCTGTGAAGCTTGGGGATATCGAAATCAACAGAGCATTGTGCGATCTTGGTGCAAGTGTGAGCCTCATGCCACTATCCATATGCAAGAAGCTGCAAATGGGTGAACTCAAACCCACACGCATATCCCTGCAACTTGCAGACAGGTCAGTGAAGTTTCCTTTGGGTGTACTTGAGGATGTACCACTTCGCGTAGGTAAGTTTTTCATACCCTGTGATTTTGTTGTGATGGAGATGGATGAAGATGTGAATGTTCCAATTATACTTGGTAGACCTTTCTTAGCTACTGCAGGTGCAATTATTGATATGAAGAAAGGTAAGATTACTTTTGAAGTAGGTGATGAGAAATTGGAATACTCACTTTTTAATGTTATGGGTGCCCCTTCTATGGGAGACACTGTTTGTCAGGTTGATGTGCTCGATGAGCTGCAGAATGAGCAACTTCCCTTGAATCAGAATGATGATGCTCTCGAACAAGTTCTATTAGGGAAGGAAGATGATAATGGAGATTGGCAGTCTACGGAGTATACCAGGTTACTTAATGAAGCAAAGGCCAATCCAAATCAGAACCCGATCAGAGAGAAATTGGAAGTAATGAGTATTGGGGAGAGTTCTAAGCCTCCCGAGGTAGAGTTGAAACCCCTCCCCTCTAACTTAAAATATGCATATCTTGGTCCAAATAATTCATATCCTGTTATTGTCAATGCTGAACTCAAGGACACAGAACTAGAGCAATTGCTCAACGTTTTGAAAACATATAAAAGTGTCATTGGGTACACCATTGATGATATCAAGGGCATTAATCCTTCTTTTTGTATGCATAAGATCATTCTTGAAAACGATCATGCCTCTTCTGTAGAACCTCAACGAAGACTTAATCCTAATATGATGGAGGTAGTTAAAAAAGAGGTTCTGAAATTGCTTGTTGCAGGTATAATCTACCCTATCTCTAATAGTAAGTGGGTTATCCCTGTACAAGTAGTACCAAAGAAGGGAGGTATGACCGTTGTTAAGAATGACAAGGGTGAGCCAGTCGCCACTAAAATTGTCACAGGATGGGGAATGTGTATAGATTATAGGAAGTTGAATAAGGCCACCCTGAAGGATCACTTCCCCTTACCCTTTATCGACCAGATGCTTGAAAGGTTGGCAAAGCATTCCTTTTTCTGTTACTTAGATGGATATTCGGTTTCTTTCAAATTCCCATCCGTCCTTGTGACCAGGAAAAGACTACTTTCACATGTCCATATGGCACCTTTGCATATCGCAGGATGCCATTTGGATTATGTAATGCTCCTGCCACTTTTCAGCGATGTATGATGGCAATTTTCTCAAGACTCATAGAAAACTCTATGGAAGTATTTATGGATGATTTCTCTGTCTATGGAACATCCTTTGATGTATGCCTTGAAAATCTGAAAAAGGTGCTCTAAAGATGTAAAGAAGTTAATCTAATCTTAAACTGGGAGAAATGCCATTTTATGGTTCAACAGGGAATTGTTTTAGGTCATGTTGTGTCTAATAAAGGGATTGAGGTTGAAAAGGCCAAAATAGAGGTTATAGAGCGCTTACCACCCCCTAAATCTGTAAAAGGAGTTCGAAGCTTCCTTGGTCACGCAGGTTTTTATCGGCGTTTTATTAAGGATTTTTCGAAAATTGCTAGACCTTTAACTGAGCTATTGGCTAAGGATGTCCCTTTTGTCTTTTCTGATGCTTGTCTTGAAGCTTTTAACAGGTTGAAGGAAGCTTTAATCACTGCTCCAGTCATGCAACCCCCAGATTGGAGTCTGTTGTTTGAGATCATGTGCGATGCTAGTGATTATGCGGTGGGAGCCGTATTAGGGCAAAGGAAGGAGAAGAAGCTTTATGCCATATACTATGCTAGCAAGACTTTGAGCTCTGCTCAACTGAATTATGCCACAACTGAAAAAGAGATGCTAGCAGTTATATATGCTATTGACAAGTTTCATTCTTATTTGGTAGGTTCCAAGGTCATCATTCATATAGATCATGCAACATTGAGGTACTTGATGACCAAGACACATGCCAAACCAAGGTTGATTCAATGGATTCTCCAGCTACAGGATTATGACATCGAAATCAGGGATACCAAAGGAACAGAGAATGTCGTTGCAGACCATCTTTCCCGTCTTCTCCTTGACCCTGAAGATGGAGATGATACCCCTTGGTTTGCTGACTTAGCTAACTTTCTCTCCACAGGTACAATGCCTCATGGCTATTCTTCTCAACAAAAGAAGAAATTCTTTTCTGAAGCAAAGAGATACCACTAGGACGATCCACTCCTCTACAAGGAATGCGCAGACACCATGATCCGTAGATGCGTTCCAGAAACCGGGATAAGTAATATTATTTCACATTGCCATGACCTACCTTGTGGTGGACATACAGGCCCCTCGAAAACAGTTGCAAAGGTTTTGCAATGTGGATTTTACTGGCCTACGATGTTCAAAGATACCTATGCTTATGTCAAGGCATGTGATAGATGTCAACGGACGGGCACGATTTCCAAGAAGAACGAGATGCCACTTAATAACATACTCGAGGTCGAGTTGTTTGATGTGTGGGGGATAGATTTCATGGGTCCGTTTCCCTCCTCTCATGGCAACCGTTACATATTGCTAGCTGTTGATTATGTTTCAAAGTGGGTGGAAGCAATAGCTACTCCAACCAATGATGCTCGTGTGGCAAGCAAGTTTTTCAAGAAAGTTATTTTCCCTCGTTTTGGTTTACCACGTGTCTTGATCAGTGACAGGGGAACACACTTTCTGGAGCATCGATTTGAGGCGATGTTGAAAAAATATGGAGTGCACCACAAGCTTGGAATTGGTTATCACCCACAGACAAGTGGCCAGGTAGAAGTGTCCAACCGAGAGATCAAGTCCATCATAGAGAAAACTGTTGCGCGAACAAGAAAAGACTGGTCTGTGAAGCTAGATGATGCACTTTGGGCGTACCGAACGGTCTTCAAAACACCAATTGGTACGACCCCATACAGGCTTATCTATGGTAAAGCATGTCATCTTCCCGTTGAGCTAGAACACAGGGCATTTTTTGCCGTAAAAAGCTTGAAATTTGATGCCAAAGCAGCGGGAGAGAATAGGTTGTTGCAACTCAACGAATTGGATGAGCTTCGTCTTGATGCTTATGAGAGTTCGAAGCTGTACAAAGAGAAGACAAAAAAGTGGCACGACAAGAATCTTGTGAGAAGGGAGTTCAAAGAAGGGGATCAAGTCCTTCTTTTCAACTCTAGGTTGAAATTATTCCCTGGAAAGCTTCGGTCTAGATGGTCGGGACCATTAAAGATTAGAAAAGTCTTCCCCTATGGCACGATTGAGTTAGAAAACACAAGAGGGGAACCCTTCAAAGTCAATGGACAACGAGTGAAGCACTACCGAAACGGTGATCCCATCGATGAGGGGGTGGATATCACACTCTCGCCCCCATCACCAAGCCCATGAGAAGCCATACGGTCGAGCTAAAGACCTTATAAACAAGCGCTAAATGGGAGGCAACCCATTCTCTAGTTTTTACTCTTAGTTCGTTACTTTTCGTTATTATTTTCATTTTTCTTTGTTTTGATTTCTCTGGTTTGATACTTTTGTTTTAGTTTTTGAGTTGTTTGTGGTTTTTATTTAGGTGAAAAGTGAGCAAAAAGAAGAAGAAACAAGGAGGAAAAGCGCCTAAAGGAAGGAAAAAGGAGAAAAACCAATTTCTGCAGAGGCACGTCCGTGCCCCTGAGGAGGCACGTCTGTGCCTAGCAGAAGAGGCACGTCCGTGCCTAGGTAAAGAAGCAGGCACGTCCGTGCCCAGCACTAGGCACGTCCGTGCCTGGAAGACAGAAACTGCAGCAATTTTGCTACGCCTAGAGGCACGTCCGTGCCTAGCAAGGGGCACGTCCGTGCCTCCTGGGATCCTTGTGCGCCAAGGCTTAGCCGGTTTTCTTATCTTTTTGGGCTTGTATATATATTCTTTAGCTTTGTTTTTCTTGAGGATTCATTAAGTTTATTTTATTTTTCAATTCCTATTATTAAGAACTAGTTCTCCATCTACTTTTTTTTTAAGTTTTGTAATTCAAGATTCAAGGTTTCTACTTTCAATTTTATTCAAGATTTGGTACTTATTTTTCATCCTTTGTTATTTAATTATGTTTTCATTATTTATTTTTGTTTTTGTTTCTTTAATCATGTGTGAGTAGATTCCTTAATTCAAGATCTAGTGTAGCCCTATTATTATTGATGCATGAATTAAATCTTTAAATTCTTTAATAACTTTAACAATTGAATTGCTAAATTGATTGTGATTATGCCAATGCTAGGTTAGACATAACTATAGTATTGCGATTATTCCATTGTTTTTATCACAGCGAGAGTTGGGTATAAACGGATTTGAGTAAATCAATTTAGGGTTTGATTCTCAACACGAGAGTAGTTGGGTTTGATAATTGGGAAGTGAGAGTAATGTGTTTAATGTCTCTAATATGCATGATACCATGAGAATAGGATTGATTGTATGTTAGGGAAGCCATTGATACTCGAGAGAGATCCTTGGTAATTATTAGGTTTTACTTTTCCCCGTTCAATTGAAATCGTATGTTAAGGGTAGAATTACAATTGCATCGATAATAGTTGTGGTGAAGCTAGATCTTGGATGTTTTTAATTGATTGATTTAATCATCTTAATTAGTTTATTTTCGAATTTTCCCTATATTTTAGACCCTTAGTTATCGATTATACTTGATTCTTGCTTAGTAAAGATTTTAGTCTAATTAATTGTTTCTGAACCTTAGTCTCTTGGGATCCGACCCTTACTTGCCAGTCTACATTAGTATTGGTCTGTTAGGTTATTTTTGATAGGTACGCGACACGCCTACCATACACCCATAATTAATTTAACAATTATGCAAATTAATAATGTTTTTGTCAAAGTAGGGAGCTGGAAAATAAAACCAATCATCCAATGAAAATTTTCCAACTTTTAACATGTGTAAAAATAATAAAATTACATCTTCCAATATGAAGATTAATCAAAATTTGATAACAAGTACTTGAACTTTAAGGACTTTAATCAACACAAAATGATTATATCCAAAATTAGTTCAACCATGGAATTTAGAATCAAAGTTCCAACCATTTAAACACTCAAAGATTGGATCTTTAATATACAAGGAACTTAAAATTTCACATTCCCAATAAACATTCACACTTTAATGCAATTGATTTGCATGATTGTGAAATAACAAGTTTATGTGAAAAAATGAATATACCAACTTAAGCACACATTATGACTTCATAACCATGCTTAAAAGGGTTTAAAATTGATGTAGATTAAGGATGCAATAATGCATTTAATCTACCCTTGACATGCATAAATTAATCAAGGTATAAAGATTTAAAAAAAATTCGTCAAAAAAGAATAACCCCTCGAAAAACATATTTCTGGGTGGATTTTGGCTTCTGGACAATCCTAAAAGGGTCAGAAACGATTTAGAACATCGATTCCACCCAAAAATCACTATTTTTAGTCGAAATCTGGGTTCGTCAGCCAAAAGAGAAAAATACGAGTTTTAAAATTAATTAAAACGAGCTTCTAATCCAATTAGAAAGCACAACCAGAAATTTAAATCCATTTTAAATCACCTTAATTAATTACAAATTGCAATAATTAAAAAGAGCGCGGCTCCGATACCGCTGTTGGGTTTCGTAGCGTCCAACGCTACGCGGAAGAGAAACCTGCCCAAGACCCCGCCCCAAGAATTAAAGCAATAAAGCATGCATAAACATAATTAAACAATAATTAAGAGAAGTGATAAAGAAGTAATACCCTTGAAGCGTGCTTCGCTCGTAAACCGAGCTCTTACTTCGAAGCTTAAAGCCTCACAAGCGTGACGGCCTCCAACGGCTCGTACCCACGACCCGACCCGAACGATCTTCGTCTCAAGGGTTAGTCGTGACTTGACCAAGTATAAAACTAGAGTTTTACGAACTTAAAGGTTTTCTCAATAATAAGAGATGCCTTTTTGAGTTCCACTCAAGTTTATTTCCAAATTCCCAATCATGGGATATTTATAGGGAAATGCAACTTGCACTCACATTCATAATCAATGTGGGATAGTTGCATTTTTCATCTAATTTATTTAAATAAAAAATAAATTATAAAACAATGCAATCAACAATCAACAAGTGGCATGAGGAGAGGAGAGGTTAGGTGAGGACCATAACCATGGGGGGGGGGGGGGGGACCATTGCCTTGCTCCTCAAGGCATGGCTATAAGCCTTGGTCCCCACTCTCCTTAAACCGGCATTAATGCCATGGTGAGCTGGCTGCCAGCCTTGCTGGCCAGCTAGCACTGCCAGCCCTGCATAGCTAGCACGCCCAAGCACATGCGAGCACGCTGCGATGGTGCTGTGCCATGCGAAGGCACGCACACACGCAAGCGCCTAGCTATGCGAGGCCTTGCGATAGCAGCTAGGAATGCAGGCTCGCATGCTGCGGTGGTGCTGTGCCATTCGAAGGCACGCACGCACGCACACAATAGTGCTGCGATGGTGCTGCCATGCAAAGGCACGCACGCACACCATGGTGTTGTGCTAGCTCGAGCTAGCCTAGCAACCACATGGCTAGGCCAATGTGATGCTATGGCTTTGCTCGAACTTGTTGCTTGTTGATTTTGCGACACTCGGTCTCGACGCCCTAGGCTCGATATCCGACGTTTGTGTTCGTAATACTCTAGTGACTCATCGAATCCTTCGGATTGATTCGTCGGTTCGGATCGGCAGTTCATTTGGGTTCGACCCGAAGGGTTCAGTCAAGATAAAGCTGTAATATTAATTGTTCACTAATATTACAGATCGGAAGCGGCCTCCACCCAGGCATTCCGATCACTTGATCTCACTGAAGAATTAGCTTCCTGATAACTCTGAACCCTCTATCAGAATAATACACTTGTTGGAAGGACACCATTCCTTTCACATCCATATAGATATCAATTAGGTTAATCTCGACCCTAAAGTTTCAAACTTTATTCTACCTAATAAACAATAGAATAGACCAAAACTAAGGGCTCTTCTTCCTGAAAACATTACAGCCCAAATTATGGGCATTCTCCTACCGCTTAATGATATGTTGGACAAACCTGTTTGGGGATTAACTACACATGGAAACTTCTCCGTTAATTTAGCCAATTGACTTGCTTATAATCTCAATTCCGAAGACAACAATTGGCTCCATAGATGGATTTGGAAAATAGACATCCCTCCCAAACTTCAAATTT